CGATTTCAAGCTCCTCAAAAGGCTGACATATTCGTCTATATTCAATGGCACACTCATCTAGGAATTCGATTGACCAGGCGAAACCTTCACTTCGGGCCCTATTGACGGACAAAGACGGACTGGGCTACATGACAGTGACCAAACCATACATAGACCAGAAAGAGATCCATTTTATGATATTGCACCTTCATTAGGAGCCAACCATTATATCTTGGTCAACAAAAAGAATCTCAACATCTCTTCTTCTCAATAGAAGATTTGTGTTCCCAAAACCCTCTCAAAGTATTCTCACCACATCTCTAATCTGAGCGAACCTTGTTCCCACACTACTTACTCACCAAGCGAACTACTATACTATATAGCGTCCCCCCCCCCCCCCCCCCCCCTTTTCAAAAATGTAAATAATCAAAGAAAAGCCATTTCCACAATGCAAAAGTTTCAGCGTCATCACACACAGGTATCTCCAACCTGTCCAGCACAGCTTCGCGGCAAACGACCACAAACTACTGGAAACTATTGAATGAACAAATCCTCTATCCCTCCCCTGGCGCTTCTACCTTCACCATCTCAAGCCAATCAGATAATTCCTTATAGTCATACTACTTCCACGTCACATAGAGATACTAGGTGGCATACATGAAACAAGGATGGTCAACCACACGAAACCGTTCTCGAGTCAATACCAACTACAAGAACGACTTCATTCAACTTCCCAGCACTGACAAAGAAAGTTCGAATGCAACAATCTAATGATACAAAATCAAAGAAACTCGTCGAACGACATTAAGCTAGCTACAGCTATTGGCTTTCAATCTGTTTCGGGAGACTTTCCTTCGAAAGATATTATCTTAAATAGCATCTTGAACGGTCTTCCGTCTGTTACAACTTTTCAAAGACTGTTATAAGAAACGTCGTTTAATTCCAACATCTCTCTAGATGTTCTTTATTTCGTGCTATGTTACAGCGAAGAAATAAAACATCAGCAAGAACAGTCCTCGTGAAATGCCATTCGGTTTCCGATAAATGGCTCTGCTTGACAGTTCGTGAAACAAATCGTCCAGAGGTCAATTTAATTCGATTCGAAACAACGTCATTCGAATCCTCGTCCTAGACTTCAAACAATCGACACCAAACTCCAAGGAACAAATGCGTCTCAAATCCGCCTCGATATGCCTAGATATGCGGCTACAGACCGTACTCACCGTTTTTGGAGAATCGAGAGAGTCAACTGAGATAATATGAGCTACAAATGTATTGCATACGGGTCAGGAGCGGCTCCCAATTCTTCCTTTGACAGCACCTTATATTTCTTAATGAAATATCTCAACATCGTGTTCTTTTCATATCTAAAAAAGGTAACGTTCGTTCCACTTTAGCCCATACTACTTTTTCTAAATTTTTTGACTGGATTCTTGATTCCAATGCACAGCTCATCTGACGTCGGACGGCAAAGTGGCCAGCATGAGCAACATCAATCCCTACATGCGGTTTTAGATCTCTATCTCCATCGCTAACGGCAGCAACATCTCTATCGCAGAACAGCAGGCGTGGGGGCGTACGTAGGTATTGACGGGAGATTAACTTGTTTCTTTTTTGGTAATCCTGGCTTTAGTGGGGAAAAGAGAATCGGCTTTCCTATTTTAGATATTTTTTTTTCCTTTTTTGTTTTGGTGTATTTTTCGTTAAATAAGCCTCCGTTTTTTGAAAATTAAGTAAAGTGGAAAAAAAACGAGAATGGGTCCTTCCCGCCTTTTTTAAAACCGGAACCCTTGTGGGGGGGTTAATTATTTTTTGTTTTAAATTATTTTAACCTAACGTAAAGTTCGCCCCCTTTTCCTTTCCCGGTGGGGTTTTTTTTAAACCCTATAAAAATAAGAAAAAAAAAAAAAAAAAAAAAAAAAAAAAATAAAAAAAAAAAAAAAAAAAAAGTGTTTTTTTTTTATTTTTTTACAAAAATAGCCATAAAACATTTTTTCCGTGGGTAAAAAAAAAATTTCCAAAAAAAAAAGGCACGCCCCTTAATTTTTTTTTCTATATTTTTTAATAACAAAGCTTTTTATTTTATTCTCCCCTCCCTTGTAGTTTTATCTATG